ATAAGTTGATATGGGATTGTTTATAGAAGCGGTCGTGGTAATTACGATAGTTACTGTTAGAAGAGCGTGATGTGGATGTCTCATGAGAAAAGGCGTTAGTTGCGTAACGCTGGGTGGGAAGGGATGGGGAGACGGTACATCAGGATTTAGTGGCCGGTTTGTCGCTCATTTACAGGGTAACGGCTCGCCGTAAACTGGTGAATAGCTCGCTCGATACGGTATTCTGGCCGAGTATGCCCTTGGTGTGTGATTCGAGCCTTGTAATGGAGCCATCGGGATTGTGCCGCTCTATTGAGTGCAGTTCGAGAGATGACTTGGTTATTTCCGCCATATTGTCTGTCAACTGTATCCTGCAGTATTGCGCGGATAAGGGAGTCTTTCCGCAGTAATATTGACCTCCGGCCCGAATTTCGTCCACTTTGATATTTCCAGTGGGTATCCGAGCTATCTTTTCCAAAAGGCTGGCCGTCAGTGATGTTTCAAAAGCGGTCGTTTGGCTGTTTGGGTCAGATGTGCCCGCCTTATCTATGGGGCTCGTCTTCAGATCAGGGCCCCGTCGGCCACCTGGTATCAGATTACGAACGACCCCGTACCGGGCTCCGGCCAATGCGGCCGCACGCCGCCGCTGATCCAGCGGCCTTACTCAGAGCCTCTGAACCGCCTGAAGCGCACGATCAGCACTTGTTTGTGGCCGATACGGACCCGGGTACGTGCCGGGGCCCCCGCCGCCCGCCCCCGCCCCGCCGCGGCCATGGCAGCTGTGCGCGGTCAGAGCTAGCTGTTGTTGCAAGTCGCCGGTCCGTTGACGGCCGTCTCCCGGCCGACGGACTGGGACGGGGGCGGGTCGCCGGGCCGACGGAGCCACACACGGCCGCCGTCGGCCGAGGGGCCACCTGTCGGTCAACGTAGTCCGTCTGTATGTCTGCCTGTGTGTGTGTTCTGTATGGGGGTCTGGGGGTGAGTGACTGTCCAATGGAATGGCTAGCGACTCGCACTTCCTTGCACCCACCTGTGTACAGAACATTATTCAGCTGCTTTCTCACATTAGTGTCTGATGAAAAATACATGTCGCCTAGTGACAAGTCGATGTGAAAAATCGATTTGCTGTCAATAATTGAGCTGCTCTTTCACATGCTTCATCATCGACGCGCTTCCTTGTGACTTTCCGACGTTAGTACCCAGACACAGAGGCTGACCATTCTCAGCCACCATCCACGTTGTAATGTCGGTTAGGGATGCTACTGAGGCAGACAGTGACTGAAGGTGGTGTGCTGCTTCGCTGGACGCTAAACGTGCTCCTAGATGGCGCTAGGGTAGACGCCTGAAGATATGCTGCGCCGCTGGACTTCCAATCCTGTTCCTAGATGGCGTTACGGTAGACGCCTGAAGATATACTGCACCGCCGGACTTCCAATTTTGTCCCTAGATGGTGTTAGGGAAGACGCCTAAAGATATACTGCACCGCCGGACTTCCAATTCTGTCCCTAGATGGCATTAGAGCGCATACGCCTGAGGGTATACTGCACCGCATGACTCCTATGCATCGCCGATATGTCGTGACGGTTTCCTCGCTGAATTTCTGAGTTTTTGTTTTGTTTGTCTCAATAGATCAGCCCATTTAGTACTTTTATATTTTGGGAAACTGAGTGAATTGTATTGCTTAACCATATTTTGTTCGTACAAAGGTGGTTATCCAAACTCCAGCCTCCACAATAGTTCCATGCCCACTGCCCAGCACGCCGTCTGCCTTTCCCTTTTCTCTCCCCTTCAATCTCTACTCTCAGCTCTCTCTCCCATACGGAGCTCAGTGGCCGTTGTATCGTTCATTGTTCGCCGCTCCCCCGTGGTCGCCGCGGGGCGCCGACCTCCCCTCCTCTCCCCCTCCCCCCGCCTTTCTTCGGAGCCGCTCTGCCGACGAGCTGACCTCTGTCGCCGCCGACGCGCCGATCCATATTGGCCCGACTAGCGACGCGTGAGAGCCGAAGATGAACGACCTCGAGACACATGTTGCTCTCTTCACAGCGTCTAACCACGCGGTTCCCGAAACAGCTGGTCCTGGCGGCGGTGATGTGAGACTCCCTTCGTTGGCACTGACGCACGCGCGACCTTGTTCTTGTTTTGCGCGCTGTCTGGGTGCTCTTTGCGTGCATTTCTGTCGGGTTTGCGTGTGTACAGCGCGTGCTTCCCGGATTGGTGCCGCCGTGGTCTAATTTGTATTTTCGGCCCCGCCACCGGCCGACGAGCGACGGAAGTCTGTGAGACCGGTCGCCTGTTGTGCCTGCAGGCTTGTGTGGTCGATCTCCTGATGGCTATTGACTAGCAGGGCCCGGAAATCTGTTGCACAGTGCGCCATTTTCGGTGGGTTTGCGGAAGTCGGGCTGAAGGCCGTGGCCTTGACACTTGTGGTACTGGGCCGTCACTGTGACCCAGACTGAGGCTTTGGTTGATTTCGTTTGTGGGACGTGAAGAATGGCCGACTGCCGTGGTCTAAGTCGATGATTTGGCAGTGGCGTGAATCACGGCCGTCACAAACGCTCGGTCGTGATCTAGAGCCGACCGTATATCGTGACTCTGTGTCAGCCTAACACTATGAAATTGGTTTTGACACGGCTTTGGTGGCAGATTAATGGGCGCGGCTGACACCTAGAGCTGTGACGTTTAACAATCATTGGGTTATTAATAATAAATGAATTACTTTTCGCCGGATTAGGTTGGTTTTAAACTTATTTCATGACTTCTATGGGTCTTCTGTCTGATTTATCTATACCTAGTTAACTATGCCAGGATTTGTAGCTGTTAAATTCATCCTATGAACGTCAAGAGTCTGTCGTTTCTTAGAGCGGAACTAATTGTTGTGTTCTAATGAAGGATTTTTGTCTGACCACCCAAGTGTTTGGTCATATAAGGTCTGTTTTACGTTGATTATAACCAGGCTAACTAATACCTATTCACTATTGGGCTGATAGTTATCAGTCTGGCTGCTGTTATTAGGCCAGTCATCATCTTTCCCTTCAATGATTAATATATAATATGCTACTTAGCAGGTTCTTGTGTGACATATGTCTGCCATTTTATCGTATCATAGCAAGCCAGTTTCCGTCGGATGTCTATATTTTCGCTGCCCGCATTGCTACGGCATCTCCGCAAATAGACTTGTTTTCCGTCAGAGCGGGCCACTCGGGCGGCGAATTCCTCGAATTTTCCGCGTTCCGTGTCGCCCATCACGCAGGCCCGACCGTCAGAGTCTCCAACTAGTGGCTCAGCGCGAGAAGTCTATCACTGTTATCGAGGGTTTTCGCCTCACGTCTAACTAGTCCCGTTCCGTCGCTCCGGCGGTGCCAAGAGCCGCCCTGTCAGCGACCACGCGAGCCGACCTGGTGAAAAAGACGCGACCTGACGCCAAAGGTGGGAAAGAATGTGTGAAAAGGCGTTGAAACGGCGTTGCTGCTATCGGGAAGGAAGGATATTGTGTTCAATTGATTGCGATGATGGAAAAGAAGGATTGAAAGAAAAAATGGCGATGCTTAGGCGGCGATGTTTCATGGTGCAGTATGTTCCGACTGACTTTTGTGTTATTCGTGTAGAATAAAACAATCAAATAAGAACAATATATCTTTACCTAACAAGTGGTGAATTAGAAAAAGTGAATCCTTTTTTACCTGGGCCGTCAGGAGAATGTAAAGTACCTAGACATTCGTTGGAGGTCGACTTATGTTTCATCTTGCTGAATGTCATGAAGCTTGAAGTTCCTTTATGCCTAGGGGCGCCGACTTGCAATGACGTCGGTATTTGCTGCGACCTCGCTATCCAATTTGCTGGTATTGACACAAATTGAAGGTTTGTGTTTGCCATGAGAGGTTTCTTTCGCCATAACCGAGCTCGCAAAGGAACGTGTTGACTGTGTAATAGTGTGTAGTGTGTACAGACGCGAACCAATGATAATCATGCATTCGCTTGCGCTGCTTTCTTTTATCATGGAATGTTGTAGGCGTTAGATCCTAAACGACCATAGCATGCTGATTGCTGATGGGACTTTTGCATTTTCGCCGGTTTGCATATCTGCGGATTACTTACAACCATTAGAGACGTCTTGTTCCAAAAAGTGTGGTCCTTGCCAGCACATTGTTGTTGCTGTTGTTTTGTCACCGGCACTCCCAAAACACGTTTTGCATTCAGTCCCATTTCACATTTGTCCTCTGTGCGTCCCATCCAATATAAGCCTCACATCAAACGACACCATTCTCAGCGTCATTCTAAGAAACTGCACCGCCTGATGGTGATGACACTAGAAACGTGCGCAAAATGACACCACTGTTCCTCAACGGACGAGCGCGGGGGTGTATTTTCGTCACAGTGGCACCTTTGATCGCTTCGGCTCAGCTCGGGAACAACGTTTCTCGCCCCTCAAGAGAGTTCTGGCGTGGCTCCGTATGGACTTTTAGCTTTAAGCATGGATAAGTTCCAGGAGTTTGGGCCGTTTCAGGGAGAAGTTCACGCTGTGGCTGTTGGAGTTGGCTGTTTCGCCTAACTTAATGCGTACGTGAATGGAATGAACGTTGGGTTATGGATATTTGGTCGATAGATAGGCCAGCTATGAGCTGTGAAATATTTTTTGTAATAACTAACCTCCCAATTTTGTGCAAGGGATGGCGGAATGGCTCGCCTGTGCTGAACTTGGACCTTTGCGTCGTGTATTCACGTATGATGCTCTTTTTGTATCGAGCACTGTTCAGTGTCCAGTCAGTGCGGCTCATCCTAAGACTTCACGATGTATTCATCAAATTGCCAGTGACCCAGCACGCTTGGTACAATCCCATGTGGGCTCTCACTGCTGCCATGGTCCTGTCCAACTGGCCTGGTCCCCAGGGAACCGTCTTACTCGGACCTCTGCAGCCCCTCTTTGTCCATATGACCCGGCTGACCATCGGTCGTCCCTTCTGAACCCTTTCGCCCGACCCCGGCGACCTCCATTCACTGACCCGTCACCTCTCTGCCGTCAGGTTCGCGCTGGACAACGACAAGATTCTGCTGCGGGGATGTGTGCTGCGCAACACGCAGTGGTGCTACGGCGTGGTCATCTTCGCCGGCCGTGACACCAAACTCATGCAGAACTCCGGCAAAACAAAGTTCAAACGCACCAGCATCGACCGGCTTCTCAATGTCATTATTCTGGGGGTGAGTTGGCTCGTGTGGGTGCTAGTTGGAGTAGGGAAGCTCGACTCACGTGGCCCATTTTCAGTAATTTGACTACTGGTTGATCTAGCGCCGTAGACCAACGACTTAGGTACCATTCAGCCACACATTGTAATGTGTAATATCGCGGAGCACCTTGGTTTGGGCTGAAAGGTTGGCTTTTTGGAGGCGTATTAGCACGGGCGCCTGAAGGCGTAAATAGCAAGCATTGAACATGCATCTTTTACGCCCTGTTTCACCTCTAAAGAACGTGTCCCGGTGTTGAGTGACGCATGATATGTCGAGAAGGCTCATATCGTCAGTTGCTATCGGTGCGACAGTGCGTATATTGCCGAGCCTTGAGTGCTGCTCCGAATAGACCGATGTGCTTTTTCTTTGGCTCCGTCCCCCAGGTGCCTGCTTTCTGTTGAAGCGGATCAATGCCGTCGAAGGCATTGTGAATAGGGATTAAATGGGCTTAGCTATTGTGTCCACGCCCGTATGAGGACTTATTGCTTGGCTGGGACTAATAACCTTATTGGAGATTCCTATATTGAGCGTAATAATGAAATCGTATTCAGGTTATTTACAATTACTGTCCGTAAGAAACGACTTACTTGCTGTGATGGTCATCCTATCCAGGGTGGATTTATACACGCTCATACACCATAACGTATTCACCTGATGACGATGCGTTATTCGGTGCTGTTGCTATACCAGTGATAGTTACTGTTGCCCCTGTGACCCTCTGCGTCACGGGTGAAGTTCAAACCCTCCCATCCCTTTCGCTTCTAGTCCACGCCCCTGTCTGACACACGTCCCTTTGGTGTTTGTTTCAGATCGTGGGTTTCCTGCTACTGATGTGCCTGTTTTGTACTATTGCCTGCGGAATCTGGGAGACTGTAACTGGTGAGTGACTGTGGTACGACAAACTCGCTGGCTGCGGCGCTGTGCAGCAGTGCCGCGCTGTCCATTTGGTAGCGTTAGCATGGCTGCGCGGACCTGTATCAATCGTCCAGAGTCGACACCGCGTACCAGCTGCTTTTGCGGCGGAAAACGATAAACATCGGCGTTCGAGTCGATAGGTAATGGTGGCTGTGGGACCGAAGGCAAGGCTGTTTTTGAGGAATGGTGCTTCAGTGTTTTTGGTGGGTTGAGTGTGAGTGATGTTTTTGTAAGTGTGCTTTCAAAGTACATTTGAACAGCCGTCGTTTCAATATCAAATAGATTAGCCGATTTCAAAGTAATTCGTCAGTGGGCATTCATTTCTAGGCAAGGGATTTATTCAAAATGTGTTAAATGATCTTGATTGTTATCGATCTGAGGAAAATTCTGAGTTTGGTTATTTAACTTTCTTGTTTGCTCCACATTCGGTCGACAAGTGCCTTTAGTTTTTCGACAAAGGGCTTTCATCGACATAAGAGCTGCTTGAGTACCCATGCAGCTAGCACGCTTATCGTGGTCGTTAGAATGGTTAATCACTTCCCAGTATTTCTATTCAGTTCCTAGTATTTGAAACTAAAGGCTCAGTCGCAGTTTGCACCACTTGAACACTTGACTAACGTTAAATGATGGCGAGTTCGGACTGTGGCTCGGGTAATGGTACCTTTGTGATTATGGCTCACTTGAATTTCTTTATGCGCTATACTTTTAATGAGTTGTGGTGAATATATAACACATGGCACGCTGAAAGTGCTGCCCACGACAGGACATTAATTCGTTTTTTCTTATTTGTGCGTCTGTGAGCCTATTTTCGTGGCGGCGTCCGGGTCAGCATTTCTATGGATGTCTTGGGGTGTGTTCTTGAGCGTCTCTGTGTCGGTCGCCATGTCAGTATTTCCCTGTGTTGACGTGTCCGTGAGCGTTTGGTGTCATTTTCGACATTTGAGTATTTCCGCGTGTAATTTCTGCTTGTTGAGCGTTCCGTGTCGTTTGATTGGTCAGTGTTTTGATTGGTCAGGTCTGTGAGCGTTTGGTGTTGGTGTCCGTAGGTCTGTAGGTCTGTCCGGGTCTGTCTCCTCAGCTGTAATTTCGTGTATCGACCGTTTCGTTCTCGGTTGTCAGGTCAGTATTTCCGCGTGTACCTGCCATGGGACGCGCTGGCGCCCGAGGGAGCCACTGCGGGCGCCACGGTCACTGCGCTGCTCGTCTTCTTCTCGTATGCCATCGTACTCAACACCGTTGTGCCTATATCGTTGTATGTCAGGTGAGTGGAATCGATTCGTGATGGAGAACAAGTTTCTTATGCATATTTGATTGTTCATTGCTGTTCGTACTACGTACTTCGTTTGTATCGGTCTCTGTTCGTAATGGTGAATGTGATACAAAAGGCATCTCAACCGTCATCTAATCGTCAGATAAGCTTTCTTATATAATGCGTCTTCTCTCGTTTTCGGTCCTTTTCTAATGAGCCTGAAAACAGCGCTGCTCTTTACCAGCTCATTCGTCCCTGAAGCACGCTTTTAACTGCCTGAGCTCGGCTCTATTCCTCCCCATTTCTTCTCTCCAGCGTGGATATAATTGGAGGGCGTCTCTAGCGGAAATATAATCACAGTTCAGTCCCCGACTTTCCATCTCCCGTCCGCCTCGCGACATTGCTCTGACTCTCTCACTCTCTCCCTCCCCCGTCGCTCTGCCCTTCAGTGTAGAGGTGATCCGGCTGATGCAGAGCTTTCTCATTAACTGGGACCTGGCTATGTATCACGAAAAGTCAGACACGCCGGCCAAGGCGCGCACCACCACACTGAACGAGGAGCTGGGACAGGTCCAGTACATCTTCTCCGACAAGACCGGAACGCTGACGCAGGTATGACGCTGGAATGGGTGGAGTGGGACTGGAATAGGTTAGGACCGGGAATGCTCTAGGTACGGATTGGTGTCTTTTATTATAGGTTACATGATTTCGTTGAAAAATTCAGGCTATTCGTCGTGGCGAACGGGCTTGAGGGCCTGAAATTAGGCAACTTGTACGTCACTTCATATTTCACGAGGCTTAATCACAGAAGGCCAAATTAAGTTGATGAAGCCGTCGGTATCGTCGTTCCTTCAGTTTAATTTCCCCACTTAAGTCTCATCATCATTCATTAGGTGTTATGGTGCGATTCATCGCTCCAATAAAAAGTTGGCAGCTTTCGTTATAGTTTCAACTCTGTTTAACGTGTTGGCGCTTTGTTTGCAGAACATCATGGTATTCAACAAGTGTTCGATCGCGGGGAAAAACTATGGCGACTTCATCGATCCAGTCATCGGGGAGGTCATTGAACCAACCGAGGTGGGTAGCCAGACAAACCCGACTTTGACCCCATGACATTGCAGTTGACATTGACAGTTTGAGAGAGCTGGCGTTGAACATAGTCGACATTGACACTGACAAGCGCGGCGGGTATCCATGCCAAGCCGACTACATACCCTGTTTTGTCACAACTCGTACTCGACGGACTTGTTACGTCTCGCTGTCATATGGTTTTGTGGCACCCGCTGAAATGGAGAGGGACGCTGACACGGACACGGGCATGATTATTTTGTCATGTGATGTACGGTTTCTCTGAATCTGCACTCGGCTTTGGTGCCTGGACAGGATTCTGGCAGTAAATAATGTGTAATCGCGACTGACAATGGCGTAGATAATCTCCGATCTGTCAATATGAAATTTATGTAGTGGGTAGGTGCTCCCTCTTGGTACAGATTACCTTCATTGGCCTAGCTGTGGTAGTCCACTCTTAGTCACAGCCATCCAGTTCCCTTGTGCCGGCGATCTTTGTTCGGCTAACTCGCCGCGCAGTTGGAAGTTGAAAGACCGCCAATTAAGGTCTGGTTCAGATTGATGCTGAAATATGCAGCAGCCTGGGAGTCACGTTAATTAGTGAAATGAGACCGAGAGCTGCTCTGTGGCTTCGCTTTGCGAGAGTTTACAGTCAGCTGGGCGCCTAAGGCGGCCAAAGTTTCGACGCACGCGGATATGAGATGCAGTTTGTGTGATTGGGCCTGCTTTGATGTCTTGCGGCATTTTAAGAACTGTTAAGACGCAGTCTAGCCGTATTTCAATACCACCAGTATAACGCCTTTTGGGGCGACTAACGGAGCGAGCGAGAGGGTGCGCCTTGCACGTGCGAAATTGCGAGGGGGTACCTTCAACTGACTTAAGCACGGCACCCTACTAACCGGTCTCTAGCGATGTGCCAAATTTGAGCGCAATCGGCCCAGCCGTTCTCGAGATCTGGAAGCGACACCCTGCACGTGCGCACGTGCAAAATGGGTCCCGACTGACTTTTGCACGGCACCCTACTAACCGGTCCCCAACTGTGTACCAAATTTGAGCGCAATCGGTCGAGCCGTTCTCGAGATCTGGAAACGACCCCTGCACGTGCGCACGTGCAGCAGCACCCCAACTCTGGCACATGGATATGCATTGCCTAGTGGGTGCCTACCTACATGCCAACTTTCAGCGCAATCGGCCCAGTAGTTACCGAGATATTGCAACAATTACAAAACTGACACCTCTTCGTTTTGCACGTGGCACGTACATAAGGGGTCACCCACATGCATCGGGAATAGTACAATACTTGGTAGAAGGAATGAAGCTACCCTACAAAAATTACCGCATGTAAATCGGTCAAGTGGTTGCTGAGATATAAGCCTCGCAAAAGCGTCCGCACGGCCGGCCGGCCGGCCGCTCATACTCAGAAATTTCCGTTAATCTAAGGAAAGACTCTGCTCGCTTCGCTCGCTCCGTAAAAACCTATTGATTTTATCAAGTTTTGAGTGGCAATGGCTGGAGGGCGGATTATTTTATACCATAACGTTTCAGTGTTTCAACAATGTCCTCGAGGATAGACTAAGTCGTGGAACGCTTGGAATTCTCGTATCATGTTGGATAATCGTGTTGCTCGGAATAGGATTGACGACCTCGTTAGCGTTTCGCCGATGCTCGTCTGCTGCGGAGCCTGTGTTGTTTGACCAATCACGGCTTAGCTCTATGATCCTATAATATACCGACTGATACCCCGTCCCTTCTCTTCGCTGCTGAGTCCCCGACTGCGTGGCGTCGCTTGTTGCCTAGCAACGCGTCGCCACGGCTACGCTTGTTTGTGCCGCGTGAATGTCCATAACCTACCGACGAGGTCTGAACGACGTGTCGCCGTCGACTCCGTCTTTGGCGCCGCGCTAGCTGACAATGCAGCAATATACCACGCTGCCCGGGACGGACGGACTATTGCGCCCGATCGACAGAATACGACATTCATGATGGCAGTCGCTCTCACAAAACGCTGTGCGACTGTTCTAGGTTCTAGCCCCGGCCTTGTCTCCAGGGCCACTAAGTTGCCTCGTGTCCGGGTTCGTTGGAACGTGTCTGGTGTCTAGGGCTTTGTCCGTCTGACTCAGTGGTATTTGTCGTGGCTGAGCAGGGAAGCTGTGTGAGAGCACGGAGTCACGTTTGCCCGTCAATTCACATTGGAAGGTAAAGCTATGCAGTATGTCAATCCTGACATGGGCCCACATATTCACAATATGTGACAGTTCGACCACGGTCCAAACGTGACCTGTCACAGTGACAGATTGACGCATTCATTGACTGACAGTCCTGTCACATTTACAGGCCAGCCCAGCTTGCATTGTCAGGTTGACCTTTTACACTGACATACTGCCCTGTCACGCCGGCGGGCTGACCTGACCGACACTGACAGACGAACCCGTCACAGTGTGTGACACTACTTTGTCTACTGGACACGGGGACGCCCGGAGAGCGTGACAAATGACCATTAAATGGCGACCGGAGCCGCCGCGCCGGCGGGCCATCGCTGCCGTCGGTCGCTCGTCAGCGCTAAATGGGAAATGGATGTCTGACAGGGCGGACCGTAATGAATGGCGCTGCACCCGCTGCGAGCGTGCCTCCCAGGGGCGAGTGCGTGATACGCCTACGGTCTCGGTATGCCCCATGGATGGTGGGTCCTCGGTCAAGCGCCTCTTGACTCTTGAGTGCGTCAGAGACGAGACTCTAAAGATTAGACCAGCAGTACTCGTTGCGATGGACGTTTTGTGTTGGTCATTCGTGTTGTTCACCAACCGATAATGTCTCCACCTTGAGAGTTCAGCATTGACGGACCCTTTGGAGCATGTACTTTTCTGCTTTTTTCATTGGTGGGAGTTTTCAGCCTTTTCAGACCACCTCGGGGCCGTGAGCCGTGAGAGGGCTGGGGGCCGTGAGAGGATAAGACGAGATATTGGGCTGGCACGAGACATCGCGGTGACTCGGTGCGCCGCAACTGAGCCCGCCCCGTGGGACAGACGTGTCCCGGTGGGACAGGTTACCCAACTGCGCAGCTGATCACCCGGGAGGGCTGTGCTAACGCGGGTGCTATCCCCACCGGCTAGGGGGGGGGGGGCGGGTGACCCCTAGTCCGGGACAGGGGTGAAGGATAAAAGATGCGGAGAGGCTAATCCTGTGGATGAAAATTGGAAAATGACATATCCTGAAAGCATGCTTTCCGAACAAACACTTCTTATGCGATAGCGAGCAGAATAAAAAGATGTGCAATGGTACAGGTAGCAGTGAAGAGCAATGGGCAACATCGTAGTCACTCTCCTCGATGAATTCTGTGTCATAACCCTGGTCCACCTGCTCTCTCGTCACGTCACGTTTCAGGACCCACGAGTCACGTGCGTCACCTCTGCGACCACGCCCTCGTGATGACAGGCCCAGCTCAAGCTATAATTTCCGATTAGGTGATGGACCATACTACCTCACCATGATTTATGGGGCCTCTTTATGCAACGATATGCTTCAGTTTATGGATTAATGGTGACATTTTGGGGCCCCGTCACGGCTTCCACTATGAGTTTGGGAAATTTACCTCCCATATTGCGATATGGTCACCACGCCCCGGTCGAAGTAGATAAAACCGCCTCATACCACTTTCCTTTCCCTCTCAGTGTTGTCTGTGGTCGCCACAGTTTAATATGGTATGAAACTGATGCCACGGTTACCAAGACTCGAAATGGTGTGTCAGTCACTAGGGTGACGCCATAACCTGGCTAATTGAAATGCGTTAGACGGTCTAAGTGCGCATTTGCGGCGCCGGACGGCCCATTCCATTGTTAGACGATCGACCCGTTCCGATTCAGTGACGCCAGCGGGCACTGATTTGGTAGCCGGACGATGTTGCTAGATGGATGAGAGATGGCTGAGCAGTGAGCACTCAGTCGATGGTGGATGATGATGATGATGATGATGATGATGATGTGGTCGGGCCCATAATGTGGCGGGATGTGATGAGCCTGGTGGTGTGATGGTCATTGTCGTGCACTGACGTTTTGAGTCAATATTAAACTTTCCCAGTGTCAGTCATATCACGTAGCTGCGGTGATTTTCAAGGAGCTGTGAGATACCCGGTGTGTTTTTGCGCTTGGAAATGGGCATTGGCATCAAGCCATTCATCCACGTCAAGGTCAGTTAGCCCTTGTTCCTCCACACCGATTGACATTCTCCCTTTCTGTGTCTCCGTCAGGACACCCAAGCGGTGGATTTTTCCGCCAACGACATGTACGAGCCGTCATTCCGCTTCTTCGACCAGACGCTGCTGGATGCCGTCAACAGCGGCGACGAGGACAGCCACATGTTCTTCCGGCTGCTGTCGCTCTGTCACACCGTGATGCCGGAGGAAAAGGATGGTAAGGAGGGTAGAAGGAGCGAAAGGGGATAACGGAAAGAAGACAGGAGGATAACGAAGGGATGGTGGGAGCCTAGTCTAAGCTCCCACCAGCCTTTTGTTGGGATGGTGGCAGCTTATGAGAATGGGATGTAGGGTAGTAATGGGGATAGACAGGGATGGGGATGTGGTAAGGATAGTGAAGGATCAGTAGTTAAGTTACGATACGACTGATAAGGACAGTGAGGAGTGGTGAGTAGACCATCCGTGGCCATAACGTGACCATCGTCTCCCCCTCTCCTCTTCTCCCCGCAGGTAAACTGAAGTACCAGGCGCAGTCTCCGGACGAGGACGCGCTGGTGTCTGCCGCGCGCAACTTCGGCTTTGTGTTCCTCTCCCGCACACCGTCCTCGATCACGATCCGCACGCCGCGCGGAGAGGAGGAGCACGAGGTGCTTTGCATCCTCGACTTCAACAACGTCAGGAAGCGGATGTCGGTGATCCTGCGGCACGGCGGTAAAATAAGGCTGTACTGCAAGGGAGCTGACAACATCGTCTTCGAGAGACTGGGCAATGTGGAGCCGGAGACGAAGGCGCGCACGGAGGAGCATCTTCAGGTGAGAAGAGAGAGGATGTTGCAGTGGCGTGTAAATGCTCGCTGTGGGTGAAAAGATATCTTGTTTACGATGACGTTTTGTACCTCCCAGTAGGATGATCGAGCTTTGGCAGGTAGGTCTCATGACGTGGTGGTTAGAAGTGCCCATTGGGGTTGGGCAGTCGGTAGGCTTTGGCTGTTGTGAGCAACTGCCGATACAACTGACTGATGATTATGCGGTTTCCTAAGGAATTGACGGAAATTGCAGGTATCGTGTCTCGTTTAGCTTCATTTGGGAAGACTAATGGCGGCGAATGCCTGTGAATGTGATTGCTCGCTCTCCTAACCGCCCTGAAATGTCTCTGCTTGACAGAAATTCGCCGGCGAGGGCCTCCGAACGCTCGTGCTGGCGTACAAGGAGCTGGACGACGCGTACTTTGAGGAGTGGAAGAAGCGACACCACGAGGCTTCCGTCTCACTGGTGGAGCGCGATGAAAAGCTGGACGCCTTGTTCGAGGAGATCGAAAAGGATCTAGTGCTGATAGGTGGGTTGGTGTGGCTGCAAGGCAGCGGTGGACGGGGGATGGCAAGGGCACCGTGGACGAAGAAGGGCTTAGCTAGTATCGTGTGTGAGAGGGACTTTGTATTTTGTGTTCGATTATATTATCTTCGTATTTTGAGAGGAGTAAGGTTTGATGTCTGATTGTGCTTGTGTTTGATAGAAGAATAATTGTTCTGCGGTTGACTTGCGTGCTCTAATTCTCAGGTGCCACGGCTATAGAGGACAAACTGCAGGACGGTGTGCCGCAGACGATCGCCAACCTGATTCTGGCCGGCATCCGACTGTGGGTGCTCACGGGAGACAAACAGGGTGAGAAACCGGAGTGAGAGCCATGTAAATTAAAATGACGAATAAATGAAGTTGGTTATGTGTTGTTATTTCGGGACTCTTACTCGACGCTGCAGCCAAGACGCATACGTTTGTTGTTGCTGTTGCTCAACTTATAAGGAAATATTATTTTTTGCTGATCTCTTTTATTTGCTTGTTTGCTTGCTTGCTTTTGTTTGTTGCATTTGTTGTTCCCTCTGTTTTGTTGTTTTGCTTTTTTGGTGCAGAGGCAAGAACGTCCTCGTTTTCATGCTGACGCATTTCTGTATAAGCCCAACTGTTGTAAATCCGCCTTTAGAATCGACTCACCGACACAACAGGCTCCGGCTAGTTCCGGCCTCTTTGTAGCCAATCTAATCATCCAGACGTGCAATTGATCCGATCGACCCACCGCTCAATCTATCAGCCCGGCTTCCCTGTTCTGCTGGGGAACGCTCCACTGAGCCTCCCCCCCCCCTCCTCCCCCCCCAGAGACGGCCATCAACATCGGCTACTCGTGCCAGCTGCTGACGGACGACCTGCAGGACGTGTTCGTCGTCGAGGGCCACACCATGCAGGATGTTGAGGCCGAGCTGAACAGGTGTATGGACGATTTGAGTAGACCGTCGGCCGACGCCAAGGCGCACCAGCACAAACAGTCACTCTCAGTGGTGACGTTCAGGTGGGTACGACGCAGAGGAGAGAGCGGAGAGAGGGAGGGAGAGAGAGAGAGAGAGAGAGAGAGAGAGAGAGAGAGAGAGAGAGAGACAGAAAGAGAGAGAGATAGAGAGATAGAGAGAGAGAGTGAGTGAGTGAGTGAGTGAGTGAGTGAGTGAGTGAGTGAGTGAGTGAGTGAGTGAGTGAGTGAGTGAGAGAGAGAGAGAGAGAGAGAGAGAGAGAGAGAGAGAGAGAGAGAGAGGCGGGGGTTGTGTGAATGTGGTAGTTTTTGGGTGGGTGTAGAGGCTGTGTTGTGTAAATGTGGTAGGTAGAGGCTGGAATTAGGTGTTCGGTGACCTAGGAGGTAAACGTCTTGCATGAAGTGACCACCGACGGAACGTTTTGCCTCCGAGGCATAGTGGCCACTAGGGACTTACAATATGAATACGCCTTTGGTATGAAGTTGAACAAATTAACATTGCCTCGATATGACATCTCGTTGATTAGGAAAATTGGGGGGAAGTTATAAAAAGCGGCTAAACGTTTGTAAGAGGTCTCCCGATATGGTTGAACACCGTCCGGTAAAAGCTGGAAATTTATCTGGAGTTTCTTCAAATTGAAAAATAGACTCAGCTAGGCATTAGGCAAACCACCGACACGAATTCATAAATGTGCGCTAAGTCATTGAATGAATGTGCATTGTGCATGACTTTATGCCTGTATGTTCATGGGATATCTGGATTGACTCGCTCCATTGTGGATATATTTCATAGCTACGTGCATTTGACGATTTTGGAAAGGCGTCGTATTTTTTAAGGAGACGTTCTGCCGCTATGATTTAGAGTCTGTTATGATGGGACTCCCCTCCCCTCACCTCAAATAGCACGTGGGCATTTCAAAATTCAACCCTTGTTTCATGTGTTGCATGTTATCCGTTGAATGTCTGGGTGTTTTTTTTTTACAACATCGCTGTTTCTGTTAGTGCTGTTACACTGTGGCTAACTTCACCTGTAAAAGTGTTTGCGGAAAGTATTCGTGAGCCTACTTTGCTTGGCTGTTGGAACTCGAAGGGAACTGGTGGCAGCTGTTCTTATCTTGTTTGTTAACGAGCTGTCCTTTGTATTTCTGCCATGTTTGTTGCTGGTGAAATAATATCCATTTTACGTCATTGGATTTTCAATCATTATTCAGTTTGTTTTAATTTCATATCTGTTTGTTTCCCTGTTTCCATCCCTCTAATAGGTACTCAAAATTTCCGTTTTAACTCACCTTAAAGGTTTCAAAGCTTCGTGCTGTACTCCGTTTGATTCTCAGCAGATGGCTACTTTCGTAATTGAACTACAAAGCTCCGTTGACCCCTCGTATTTCTCTTCATGTGTTTCTCCGGGGGACCCGAGGTATCAGCAGGGCACCGTGATCTGTGTCGTGGTTCCAGTAGTTATTCGAGTCGCTGTGCACGTCGCTCGCTGTGTGTTCCAAAGCCGTGTGCTGCCACCACCGCCAACCTGAACCCACCGACTTTGACTAGCTGTAGAGGCTGAGGGGGAGGGGAGCACGGGTTCACAGCCGGGACAGAGGGACGGAGGGGGTGTCTCCGCCCCTCTGCCCCGGCCGGTCCCCACACGGCCGTCCCACTGAGGTCTCTGTCTGTCCGTTTCCATGGCGTATTGGGCCAGCCGCCCCTACGTGTACGTGTCACCCCACAGAGGCGGCGCCGCCCCCACGTGAGTAGTTGCGCCACCCGCCGCACCGTGCCGCTAGTGTCGCGCCTGCCAGCTGCATACGGGCTGGGTGGATGGTTCGGTTTCTGGTTACTGGTCATTGGTGATTGGTCAATGGTCATGCCTCCTAAACGCAACCGCCAGTGCCTTGCTTTGAGCGGTGTCAGGGAACTTAAGGGTCTAGGGCTGCTTTGGGCAAAATCAATTTACAAACTTCAATTGCTATTAGGATAGCCAAAAAAGTGACACCTCGCGATTAGGAGAAATACCAAAATAAAGGCAGATGTAGCTTGAAAGCTTAAAATTATTAAATTCAGCTTCAATGTTCGTTCTCTTTGCATTCACTTGAAACTGTTTGTCTATGACAAGTAAATGGCGAAGTACTTGTATGAACAGCATTATGACATATATAGGGGAGAGCGGGGCCAGTTGAAACACGGGGTCAGATGAAACATGGCATTATTTTCAACAGTATGCAACATATGGCGTTGCCGATACCACTGCGCATCCGCGCTCGACCACTTCCTTTGTCAACGGCGTTTGGGCGGCAAACGGACGGTAATTTTGATTTGACACTTGTTTTTGTGTTTTTGAGGGGCGTTTGGGAGAAATCGTTCTGATGAATATTTTGTGATATCTCATATACCTTTGTTTGCTGAAAGAAGAACTCCTGGCTCCGGAAGAACACCTTATTTGGCCCTTCATTCAGCATGATGCCGTCCCTCCAGCTCGTTTGACATGTGCTTTACGGCGCGTGCGAGATGACGGGAGCGGATGGGGTCAATTGAAACGCTTCTCTGAGGGTCAGTTGAAACAGGGCCAGAGGCCGTTTCAATGGACCCCGGTGACCTTTGCAATGGTTATTGTTCAGGGGCTGTAAACATTAAAGGAAATAGTCCACCTTTGAAATGAGCTTTTAAACTGAAATAGTAGTTAATTAGAGCTCAATTTTTTACCACTTTTTCTCCAGCCTTTTGCTTGAAAGCACACTATAGCCTGAGATGTTTCTCATTTTTCTCATCCGCCCATTTTACCATAGTCTATGTACTTTATGTCACCTATTATGAGGAACTTTGCACTTTTAGCTTTCCAACGACCTATTGAATGTAGCATTTGGAAAAGTAAACCGGACAAAATATCTCCTTAAGAAAGTGGCCTTAAAGAGGAAAACATCCCATTGTTAAGGATAGGTGCAATTGACCCCATTGGCTGGTTCAATTGACCCTCGCATCGGGGTCATTTGAAACGGGCGTAGAGCTGTTTTATAAGCATGCGTTTGGCAGCAAAATATGTTTGAAACATAATTTTACATATCTTAAAATAAAGCCAAAAGAGCATATTTTTTCATGGCATTGTGCATTTTTCGATATGACAACTAGATCTCGCTGTGCATGTCAATATATAAAAAGTGGTTCAACTGGCCCCGCTCTCCCCTATGTTTTTAAATATAACCTTATGTTCAATGATTGCGAAATGCAAAAGGTCCCAAAATTAATTACAAAATGAATATATTTCGGACACTGTCCTTCTTCAGTTCAGAATTGCAAATACGGAATACGGAAAATACGGAAAATACGGAAAATACAGAATTCAGAATTGCAGAATGCAAAATAAGAATTTGCAATTCTGAACTGAAGAAGGACAGTGTCCGAAATATATTCATTTTGTAATTAATTTTGGAACCTTTTGCATTTCGCAATCATTGAACATAAGGTTATATTTAAAAACATATGTTTGTCTATGACATCGAATACCTTGTCGATAAGTGGAGGCGAAACACCCCAGTTTCGATGCAGGTAAAGCGATATGCACCTGAGTAGAAGGATTATTGTCCGATTATAAATCGATGGCATCCATAATCTTAGGCACGGCCCCAGTCATGTGTAGCCCTACGTCAAAGTTGATCAATATTTGCGGTAGTTACGTAAATAATGTACTCGCAACCTGTCATTCGCAATGCTGTGCTGATTCAATTTAACTCAGCTGTGAGGACGTCCTATGGAGGTGACACAATAGTTAGAACCCAAATGAGAAGAACATTTTGCCCTGTGCACGTCCCGTGTCCTCTAGTAAACTTCGGAGACAATTAAATGACAGCAATAATAGCATTAGCAGCCCCTCGCGACCCCAAGTTATTCCCGCTGAGAGCACCTGCCGTTTTTACTGCACTGCCCAGCATGACCACGTGACACATTGACGTCAGCAGCGTGTTTGACGTCACTCGCACATATTGTGATTCAGTATCCGGAGTATGCTGTTTGTTCGGCGGCACCGCTTCTGCAGTCTGCAAAGCCACATCGCTGTGCTGTTTGTACGTGGTGACACCCGCTTTGGATATGCTTTGTATGGCGTGAATACCCAAGTGGAACTGTTTTATGACGTCACATCACCAGCCTCAGCGTGTATGATCCTTTTATCCTGAGTGAGAATGGAGACGGCCGGTGGGTCGACTGGAACCCGGCTCCCCAGGAACTGTACATGCGTAACCTGGTCTGCGATGATTGTTTTGTCTTGGCTAGCGGTTTGCAGCGGGTGGTCTGATAGAAGTGAATGAACGACTGTGCGCGTGCGTCTGCGGGACTGTGCGTTCGCGTGCGTCGAGCTGCCTCTGGCAGTGCCAGCTTTCTGCTTGTCCTTGCAATGTTTTCTTCGCAATTCTGTTTCGAAAATTGTATATTGCTTATTTGTGCTTATGATCGTATCATTTTCAATAAGTGAAACCACTTAGTAATTGTCTAGCTCTTGATTGTTTTTGGTGCAAAAGCAAGCTGGCATGTTTGATCAGCTGTCGTGGAGAGGATCATTTTCAAGTAAAGTTTTGTCGCAAGAAGTGTTTAAAGTGATGCGTAACATTTTCGTACCGCATATCTCATTGCATCCTTCTCGTCTGTCCTTCACCTTTTGACCCGTCATCTCCTCATTTTACCTCGCCGGCCTGTCATTTGACCTCGCTAACCTCTTATTTGACCTCGCCAACCTCCAATCTGATCTCGTAGACCTATATGACCCTGAAGATCTTTCATTTGACCTCGGCGACCTCCCATATGACCATGCTAAACCCCGCCAACCTCTAATTCACCCTCGTTAATGTCTCATGTGGCCCAGCTCCCGTCACCCCCCCCCCCCCACCCACCCACCCACCCCGCTGTCTGACGTCGTCTCACGCAGCTCGGTACGCTCGGCCGCCAGTGACGAGGGCTACGGACACGACACACCCGAGGAGGACCCGACGTCCAACGCCAGCGGCTCCGGGGGCTTCGCGCTCGTCATCAACGGCCACTCGCTCATCTGGGCGCTGACCAGCAAGCTGGAGCGTCTGTTCCTGGACGTGGCGTGCCAGTGCCAGGCGGTGATCTGCTGCCGCGTCACGCCGCTGCAGAAGGCCCTGGTGGTCGACCTGGTGAAGAAACACAAGAAGGCGGTGACGCTCAGCATTGGCGATGGCGCCAACGATGTGTCCATGATCAAAAGTGAGCTTTTAGAGGAGAAGGAAGGGATATTTAGAGAGGCGGGTGACAGGAAGGATGAGTGGGCAATCATTTTAACAATTCAATCTAATGGAATTAAATTTACAGCAGTGGTTGTTGTGTGTGGATCAATGACTGGCTATTGCCGGTACGTTTGTTTCCTCCAATCATGTTCTTTTGATGCTGTATCACTGTTTCGGCATAAATTCTCGCTGCCTCGCATGACGCTATGAATTGCATTGCTACCACATACACGCTCTTCGACGCTACGTGACAAATCTCGTTGATCTGCCACCGTTTCCCATTGGAGCTCTGTCTCTCCTATCCGCATACACCTAAAAACTAGCCCCTGCCCTCTGCCACCGACAGCGGCGCACATCGGTGTCGGCATCTCTGGCCAGGAGGGTCTGCAGGCCGTGCTGTCGTCCGACTACAGTATCGCCCAGTTCCGCTACCTGGAGAGGCTGCTGCTGGTGCACGGCCGCTGGTCCTACTACCGCATGTGCAAGTTCCTGCGCTACTTCTTCTACAAGAACTTCGCCTTCACGCTGTGCCACTTTTGGTACTCGTTCTTCTGCGGGTTTAGCGCCCAGGTGAGACCGGCGACGGCCGTGAAGAAAGGGACAGCGAGTCTTGAGAGTCAGAAGTTTGATAACGATCGTCATGCGTAAATGGTGTGGTCAAGCTCAAGATAGCGTAAATGAGTTTTTATTTTTAAAGTGTTTTTCCAGGAGCTTTGTTTTATGTAACCATTAGTCTAATTATATGTATGTGGTGGTGTTAAGTCCTTGCCGAACAGAGCTGCCTGCTATGTCTGTTCTTACCCTGTCGCTTTTGAAATACCCTACCATGAATTCATGTTATATCTGTCATTTGTAAACCGGTCCGATACCTCTGACATTTCCAGTATGAAATTGTGTCCAGCCGCCCTGTCGATCCATGCCAATCTGCTTTATCTAATCGATAGCTATGAAAACGAGTGAAAGTTGATCAGCCCCATCCTTCGGCTGGTGTTACCCTGGAAGGCAACGTTGCCCGTTGCCTTGTTCAGCCGCAGGTTGCCCCAGTTACGGAAGCTGGCCCACTATGTGTGTTTTTTCTTTAGATATGTGCGTTCCTGTTGGAATTTCCAAGTACCATTGCTCATTCCCAATACCCCATTCCATAAAACTGAGGTTTATTTATGTTCATAATGTGTAATGAGTGTACGTTGAACGTTCAGATAAGGCTGCTTCGTTCTATCTTGTTCTGTTCATTCTATTTAGTTGTCTGTAAAAAGTGGTTACCGTTTTATGTATAAAGTCATTGTATCATGTCATTGATTGCAATTCTTCAGATGTTCTGGTCATTTGCCCTTGCTTCTGCGTCTCTTTATGTTGACTTCTCTCTTCTGTTTCTTGTCTTGCCTGTTTGTTATTTTCCCGGACACTATATATGGTGGGTGTCCTGCTTCTGGCTCGGCCGGTCAGTTTTTTTCGGCTGTTTTTCCTGGCTTGAGTCACGAGTGGGCTTCATAGCTCTGGGCAGAGCACTGCAGCTCTTTGCTAATCCTAAGCCTTCAGCGTGAATAAGACGCACTACGCGAAAATTAATACCACAAGCCTTGTACCTGTGAGAGCTCCCTTGCTCTCATCGTTCGGTGGCGGGACGCTGTCTGGCACAGCCCTAGGTAGGTACGGTTGCTGCCTTCTTCCAGCGCCTAGCCCTGTCTGGCCTACGCGGCATCCTGTCGGCGGAGACCGGCTCGTCCGACAGCACAGCTGACGCGCTGGGGCGCCCGCGGCGCTGTTTCAGACCGTCTACGACGTCTTCTTTATTTCCACCTACAATCTGTTTTATACGTCGATGCCCGTGCTGGCACTGGGCGTATTCGACCAGGACGTGAACGCGGCCAACAGTCGCTCCTACCCCAAACTGTACACGCCCGGCGTGCGTTCGCTGGGCTTCAACAAACGCATATTCGTGGGCAGTATGCTGCACGGCGCCGTCACGTCCCTCGTGCTGTTTATGATACCTCACGGTGAGTCGCCGGCGGACACGGAGCGACAGAGAAGGAGGCGCACAGACACTCGGCACAGAACGACACGGTTTGACGCACCGTCTGCCCCCAGCACTGGTCGACGTGGCAGGGACGGCATGCTCTTTGGACGTCTCCAGCTCGTCTGTCTGTTTTCTCTCCTTCACTGTCTATCCTTGTTCCTCGTACACGCTCGCTCTTCTCTGTTTCTCGATGTCGTGTTGTCGTTTTGTGGATGCGTGACTGTGTTCGATTTCACGAGCCTTTTTTCAGCTCGTGAGTGTGAAGTGCGTTTTGTGCGCGCGTTCGCGTGGATGTTGTGTCGTGACGTGTCACCGCACCTGCCGTATGCCGTTCTTTCACAAGGGCGCACCGCCTGGCCTTTTTCAGACCGTGTTCGATCCTATGTTCATTGCCGTCTACAACCTTTTCTACACGTCCATGCCGGTACTCGCACTAGCCGTCTTTGACCAAGACGTCAAGGAGCGCCAGAGCCTGACGTACCCGAAGCTGTACACCCCCGGGCTGCGTGACCTGTTCTTCAACAAGTTAGAGTTCTTCAAGTCGGCCACGTACGGCTTCGTCACGTCGCTGGTGCTCTTCATCGTGCCGTATGGTGAGCGGCTGGACGTGCTGTCGGAGTGGTTGGAAATCGGGCAGCGGTGTTGTGGTACGCTTGTAGGAGGGACTTTGGATGGGCGGGGATGAAGCGATAAGCGGAACAGCAGGAATTTAATGAAAACGTGCGATGTGGGTGTATCGTTGGCCGATTACATACAAAAGTTAAGGGCTCTTGAAAGAACACAAAACGCCTTTGGGGTGAGTAGAGGGACTGAAGGAGCTGAGAGGATGCAGACAGGCGTGCTGGGCATAACGAAAAGCTGAACACCCGAGTACAGCTGGCTCTGATTAGGCTAAAGTGTCGAGCATTCGTGGAACAAATAGGAAGCTCTCGATTTTTAGTGCTTCAGAATATGAATAAGGTAAAATGACGCTCAAAGATCTTTAGAAGTATGGTACGGCTCAAATTTCTTGATGAAACAATGGATTACATTGAGAATGCATTATATGCAGTCCGAACTTTGAAAATGTCGTATGAGAGACGAGAAATGGTGGCGACTTTGAATTAATTTCTAGGGCGATATCATACAGAAAACGTTAAAATCTGGCTGCGGGATCCAAACGTCACAGCTCGCCATTTGTGTTTGTGAGGCAGTCGCACCAGGAAGTAAAATGTGTTGCGAGTATCTAGCATAGAGCTTGGGGATGCACAGTTGCCTGTTCCCCGGGAGATTTTCCCTTTGGTTTGAAGTGAAATGTTACCACAGAATAAATAACACTTTCGTGAGTAGACGAGCAGTGAGCACCATATGCATGGAATTGGACACAAGCTGTCAGTGTTGCAGATGATATAGCTGACAGTCATCGTATAACATAAAAAACTGTTAACAGGACAGGTATAGACTTTGTTAAAAGAAAAAACAAACTATATGTGTGAAATCACTCGACTGCATCAATCACATGACAGTGACATTCTTTCTCCGCCCCATCTCACCCCTATCGTCTGACCCCCTCCCCTCCGGCCGCAGGCACCTACAAGGACGCCGTGTCACCCGAGGGCTACACCATCTCCGATCACCAGCTGTTCGGTGCCGTCGTGGCCACAGTGCTCGTGGTGGTGGTCACCATGCAGGTGCGTGTCGGGGCTGGGCTGAAAGTGTCGCGGCTCGGCTGAAAGTGTCGCGGCTCGGCTGAAAGTGTCGGGGCTCGGCTGAAAGTACTCGCCTCAGCTGCGTTCCTACGGCTTGGTATGGAAGTTTTGAGGTGCTTGAATGGCGTATGCCACCGCTGCTTTGTTACCTTTTCTTGCTCTGTATTTTTTATTTATGAGTAGATGTTCTGTGGACGGAAATGTTATTTTCGCGGTTGGTTGGTAGCCACCAGTTGACTAAATGGGCGTAAAGGTGCAATGAAGATGTTCGAAAATCCCTATTAACTTTCAACCAACTGACTCACATGAAATACGGATGAAAAGACACGTTTCTTTAAATTAAGCGTTTAAATCTGTAGTATGTTACGATGAATCGAGTTATAAATGACGAGCTGCATAGCACCTTTCATTTTTCTGGTTTATTTATTGTCGTCAGTTGCTGACTGCTCCCGTTTCTGTCCGCAGATTTGTCTGGACACGACATACTGGACGTGGCTGAACCACCTCTGCGTCTGGGGCTCACTGTTCACCTACATCCTGCTGCAGTTCTTCTATAACTACGTGCTCGGAGGTGTCTACGTGGGCTCCCTGGCCATGGCCATGTCAGAGGCCAACTTCTGGTTCTGCACACTCCTCACGGTCATCGTCCTGATGGTTCCCGTGCTGGCGTGGCGCTTCTACTTTGTCGACCTGCACCCGACACTGGCCGACCTGGTGCGCGCCAAGCAGCGAGAGGACAAGGCACAGAAGCGGCGCATGGACGAGTTCCAGCGGACGCCATCGGCCCGGCGGCGCGGCCGCTCCGTGCGCTCCGGTTACGCGTTCGCGCACCAGGAGGGCTTCGGACGGCTCATCACGTCGGGCAAGATGATGCGCCGGCCGCCGCCGCTGGCGTCGCTGTCCATGTTCTCGCTGGGCAGGTCGGGGGCCAGCTCGCCGAGGGCGGACACCCAGGTGACGTTCTGCGCGGAGCCGAGCAGCGTCAGCATGGGAGGCGGCCATGGGGACCGGTGAGGGACGGCGGCGATCGGCGCGGCCCCACACGGCCTCTGCGCGGCGCGCCCAGCCTCGGACCGCCTCAGCCTCTCATCGAAACCGGTATTTTTGTAGCTGTTTTGGGGGAGGGAGCGGGAGGGGCGCGGCGCGTGCCGGGTGCCGTGCCGCCGCCGCCTTGCGGTTCGTTTTCGAAGCTGTGGTTGTCTGTCGTGCCGCGCCGGCGCACATATCGGCTCTGCCTGTCACGTCGTGCCTGGGCTCTGTCCGCAATAAGGGGGTGCAGCGGCACCGTGCCGCGTGCACGCCCGCTCCTGCCGCACGCACAATGAGCAGTGACAGAGCCGTCTGTTACGAGCAGCCTTTGCCATCGCCCCGTGTGATGGAGAGCGACTTCACTGTGATCTTGAGCAAGAACTTACGGGCGTACGAGTCCGCCTCGACCGAATTTATAATATCTTGGGACCGTGATTCTTGGGGTCGATTGGTGATCAACCATCCTGTTAGAGCGTGATTTGGTAGAGCGGTCCTCGGACTGGGTATGTGTAGATGCACCGTGATCGTTTCATCGCTACTTTTGTTTGTGCTTTGTTGTGCTCGTGCTTTTTTCTGTGTTATTTATCAACGGGGAATAATTTCTCTGTCATGGTAATCGGCGAGACTCTATTTTCGTACCAAAACTGGGTCGCTTCGAGGCCCGATACAAGCTAATCGAGAGATATACCGAAGGTTGTGTTCTGTTGCGTGCTGTACGTAGCGAGTGTCTGAATACGCAGCCCGTTTTGGTGCCTTATGTGTAAGCTGGCGATGTATGTGTTTCGGTTTGGTCGCGACGACTGCTGACAGCGTACAAGTTGTGTGAACTTGGTGCATTCAATCCGCGAACGGGCTGGTCGTGGTGTTTGGAGGTGTCACTCGTGGTAGCCAGTTGAGTTCATTCTGTGTCTGTATCATTTACTCATATCACACCTTTGAATTGTGCGCCGCACATTGGCGTCCGTGTATATGCGTCTGTGACGTCATTGTTTTGTTAACGTTTTACACTTGACGAAATACACAATCGCCTGGAATTGACTGAAAGGGTGTTTCCCATTCGCATAGACAGTGTTTGGCACGCAGGCACCGTCTCAACATACATGTAGATTCAACGTGTAGATTGTGTTGTCTTTCGGGCAATCTGGACTTGGCTACCTTAAGAGCAATGGAAAAGCAACAGTTATACCTGCTGTACAGGCATTTATTGGTTGTTCTAGCATATCCGACTCTCTTCGTGGCTGGCGTCCGTGAGTTCCTCAATGACGTAGCTCTACGTATAGAAAGGAAGAGTGAGAAGGATAGAAGAGGAAGCGGGTCGTAGAACGACAATCCGTATCCCGTCCCTCTCTGCGTTTCTCTCAGTAGGCCAAGAGTAGGCCTGCCGGGGCCCACCGCGGTATCGGGGCAGCGCCGACCTGGGTGGTGGGTCGGATCACATCCAGTCCGGGGTCCGTGGAACTTTCGCTGTCACCCGTCCCGCGTCAGTTTGACGGGCTGAACCAGACGGGCCTGAAATTGGGCAGCCACGGGCACAGTTCGAGTGGAAGACGGAATATTGGCTAGATGGACAGATTGAAGGGCGGGAGATGCGATAGCCCCACCTACTTTTGGTAGTGTTTAGTTGCGCTGCAAATGGCTCGGCCTTATTTCATGGCAAATAGCAATTTCAGAGAGAATGGCGTTTTACGTGGCAAGGGTTCTGCAGGATTAATAAAGGTTATGTGCACTTTTTACGAAACAAGCAAAAAAGATCATTAATCTAGTCCAAAGCTTCCAGTTGCTGTGAATCTCAATGGTCTTAATTACATCTATGGCGTATGGAGCATGACGTCGAGCTATTCCTCCCACATCATTAGATTCGGCGCTGCAGAGAGACAGACCATAACTCAGTTGGATGTTTTCATAACAAACACGGCACAAGCTGCCGCTTCCCGCCTGGCTCTCTGCATCTCACCAGTGGGGTATTCCACGATAGATCGACCAAAAAAGAATAAAATTTACCGCTGCAACCCTATGTTTGACGGCTTATAACTAAAAAACTATTGGTTTTCTATGGTAGAAACTTTATATGGTTCAACTCGCAATCAACCAACAAACGTTTTGGCTATCTCGGATTTTCGATTTTTGTAAATTTTGATCACGTGACATCTTGACCTTTTTTCGAAGAGTGACCTTGATATTTTCCCAACTGAAAGTCGCAATTTTGTCTGATGACGATTAAAGCCTTATCAATTGTCATTCATATGCGATCATAAAAAGTGGCTTTCGGCCTGCGTTGACCTCAGTCAGGTCATTTTTATGACCCTCCCATTATTACGAGCGGGAGCGACAACGAGATTTCGAGAACAAAGCAAGATAGCGACAAGCGGTAAACGGCAAAGGGTACACATGGATAAGGTCTACAATTTTTACTCCGGTCATTTTCAGGTCAGGTCAAAGATGACGTCACAGGGGTAAAAAGAAAGTCTAAATGGCGGCACTACATATATATGAAGTTTTTCTCGAATAACTTTCAAAGTATTCCAGCTAGGAACAAACTAATAGCACCATCGTGATCCTTTCGTCGATCCGCATCGAAACATATGTATGTTGACCTCGAAAGGTCAAGGTCAAAAGTTGACCTTAGGTCACGTGATCTTAAGGTCATCATATATATCATTCGATGGGCCTTGACGAGCTGAACACAATGAGCCTATCCGCGCGGCTGTATCTCAAACCTGTAAGGAGTTATTAGCAAAAAACATTTGGTGACCTTTAATGACGTCACATGACCCAAGAGCAATGTCACAGTTGACCAAGAGCAAAAAAGGTCTGAAGGTAGTCAAAGTTAGTCGCATATGAAGTCACTCATGGTATATTAGGCAATTCCGACGCGTTTTAGTGTAAAAATAAGGGAGCTGATTTTTCCCCAATTGACTTATAATGGGGTGGTCAAGAAATTGACCTGACCTTAGGTCATCGGTATTGAAATTCAAAACGAACTGGCGCTAGGCGAAAGCAAACGCATTGGTGCCTATTCTACGTCTCTTTCTTTATTAGATCAAAAGGTTCAGCCAAAAACGGAAAATTATTGTGTGTTCAACGCGTGACCTCGGATGACCTTTCAGCGGGTCACTGATACAAAGCTGCCCCAGTGCCATCAATAATAGCCTAACTCAACATGATTCAAAAGTATTTGAACCGGTCAGATGCGTTTGAACCGGTCAGATTCGGTGGTAACCGATATTTCTGCCATTGACTTAAAGGACAGGTCATAAAAATGACCTGATCTCAGGTCAATGCAGGCCGAAAGCCACTTTTTATTGTCGCATATGAATGAAAATTAATAAGGCTTTAATCGTCATCAGACAAAATTGCGACTTTCAGTTGGGAAAATATCAACGTCACTCTTCGAAAAAAGGTCAAGATGTCACGTGATCAAAATTTTCAAAAATCGAAAATCCGAGATAGCCAAAACGTTTATTGGTTGATTGCAAGTTGAACCATATAAAGTTTTTACCATAGAAAACCAATAGTTTCTGAGTTATAAGTCGCCAAACATAGGGTTGCAGCGTGACCTCCAGGAATTGCCTGAGGCTATATCTCGGAAACCGTTGTTCGAAGAAAAAAATCCTTGGCACAGCTGGCTTCCCCGCCCATCACAACCCAATAGACCAATTTTAAGCAAAAAATAAAATATGAGGGTGTACGGCTTTGGTCGATCTATCGTGGAATGCCCCCAGTGTCCAACGACTGTGGTGTGCTTGTATGTACTCCAGTCTCCATTAGTGTGGGGAGCCTGATTGCTGAGCTCACGACTTCCGCTGCATTCGCTGTAAAAATTCAGCTTTTTGCCGCTTTATAACGCAAAAAAAACTATTTTATCCACGAATTTTTAACTTTACTCAGCGTTGCATCTTTTTCAAGTGTTTCCCAAGCTTCCCATCTGTTCTCCGGAATCCGGCCACACACAAACCAGCAGCGCTCGGGGGCCTCCCCTTCCTCATTCCCACAGCATCCCAGCCTCCCTGCTCCCCCAGCCTGTAGCGTCGATCGACGCGATGTGCGCCTCACACGAGCAGGCGACGACCGGCTGCCGGCGCTGGCAGCGCTGCCTGTTCCCATGGCCTTGGGGCGATCTAGCCGGCTTTACAAGTGGGTCACTCGCCGGCGTCGGCCGACCACGCTGCCGGCACGGCGCAGCGGCTGGACAGGCCGGCTGGTGGCGTGGTGGGCCGTGTGTGGGCCCGGAAATACCACAGATGGCTGCTACCCTACGAGGCCTACCGGTGCTTCAGTTCAGGGGAGGGTCTTACACGTGAGGTGCCGTTGTGGCCTTGGCGGAATAACCGTTTTTCCTTGGCGCTCTAATGATTCACTTCGCATTTTTCTTACCATCCCCCCCTCCCCACCATATGGCTGGCTGTCATAAAAAACTATTGCCTGTGTTAGAAAAAGTCAGTTGCAGTGTGAAATTATTAACGAATGCGAGTAGGGCGATATCTCTTGAAGCTTAGAAAGGTTAACAGTCCATTTCTGTCCTAGCCCCCCCCCCCCCCTCTTACCTCTAGCATACACATTACACAGGAACAGCTATCCCCTCTACTGGCGGATTTAAACGTGCTCGGAGCAGCCCTTGGGGCAGCTGGAGCGACCACAAATTACCCACGCCACCACTATTGTCTGTCCAGGGAACGTGTGGCGGTTGGGTCGTGCCCTAACCGCCCCCAATTATGGAACACCTAGATTGGAACCGAGGGTGCGAGCTGCCGGTTACTTGGTCGGTTATTATCCCACATTTTGATGAAAGGCAGCGCTCAAACACCGAACGCGTGTTCAAAACGGTTGTGATGTGTCAGATTCATACATTATCGCTTGTTGTCGCTATTTTGTCGTTTATTAGTGCATGCGTCATGCTCACTCCTACAAGAAGAAGGGATAACAGCACAGCTGTGGTTGAACGAAGACATGTGTTCGTGTGCCCGCTATGTGCGTGCGTGCGTGCGTGCGTAGGTGCGTGTGCGTGTTCGTGCGTTCTCACGCATCTCGTATGAGGGGCGGTATCTCGGTGGATTTCTCAGCAGTTGTGGACCTCTCCCTCCGTCCGGCCGCGTGTATATGGCGTCGTTAACCTGAATCGGCTTCTGACGGTCATCTCGGGTCGCTGATGAGCGGCGTACAAGGCCGCTGATGAGTGTGTAGCGTCGGCCAGTAATGACTCTACACTGACGGCGGTCATCAACCATGATAGCGCAACTTTCTGCCTCCTGCCGTCGCCGCCGTCGCCGCCCGCGGGGTCATCTGACCGGTTACCCCACGCGCTGCAGCATAGGCTCTGCACAGGTACCTGAGAGTCAGAACTCAGACGGCTGAGCTGTGCAGCTCCTCAGTCCCTCCTTGCCGAGCTGCACTGAGCTGTGAGCCGACTCCATGATCCGAGCTGCAGAGAGATTGGAGAGAACCTTCTGGAGAGCAGCCGACGCCCTCGGGCGAGGCTGGATTGATGGGATGGCGGTGCTTCAGAGAGCGTATGGTGCAGATACACGGAGCTGGGGCTTCCAGGGACCCATTATCGAACGTTAGGTGGAGCAGAGGTCTGCAATTTGCTCTTGCGAATGATGCACGAAAATAACGCATGGTGCCAGAATAACATGTTGCGTCATTTATTGAGCCAAGCTCAGCCTCGTAGTCAAGCTGTGTGCATATTTTCAGCTCGGCTTACTGTCGCAATAATTAAATTCCATATAGAATCCTGAGTATGACCAGAGGAAGCTTTATATAATGGTCCTTGCACTTTGCAGACTTGACTTGGACTATGGTCACTTAGCAACCACATTTCAGTTGTTCGATGCGAATGCTCAGATTGACACATGTGCTATTGATGGGCAATACGTTCTAGCTGCAAAAGAGAACACTACCGACGAAGATAAAAGATTTATGCCCTTACGTAGTGTTACAATTACAGCTCACCACTTGATGCTCGCTATATTCACTACCATCTCATACAATGGCCCATGAGACGTTCCCTTTCTCAGAACTGTCCTGGCAAGCGACCAAGCG